CACAGTGGCCAACCAGTTCCTCTGGAGGGCCAACAACAGGGAAGAGAGGCAGAGGCCTTCCTAAGAACATCAGAAGATCTGTGCTGGATCAGACCAGTGGTCCATCTAGTCCAGCATCCTGTCTCACACAGTGGCCAGACAGTTCCTCTGTATGGCCAACAACAGGACATAGAGGCTGAGGCCTTCAAAGAACATCAGAAGATCTGTGCTGGATCAGACCAGTGGTCCATCTAGTCCAGCCTCCTGTCTCACACAGTGGCCAACCAGTTCCTCTGGAGGGCCAACAACAGGGCACAGAGGCAGAGGCCTTCCTAAGAACATAAGAAGAGCCCTGCTAGATCAGACCAGTGGTCCATCTAGTCCAGCATCCTGTCTCACACAGTGGCCAGCCAGTTGCCCTGGAGGAGGGCCAACAACAGGGCATACAGGCTGAGGTTCCCTTTAAGGCTGGTACCCACTGATAGACCTATCCTTCATGAATCGGTCTCCATGAATCTGTGGCTTTAAGGTCAGTGGTTCTCAACATGTAGCAAAGGGTAAGCTAGAAGTACTTCCCTCCCAGCAGCAAAGATTCAGCATGGCAGGCACCAAAAACTGCAATCTTAACAGCGGACCCTAGCAGGGTAACACTCAGGTCAGATCTGGCCACCCAAGGTCCTTCCCATCCCACCTCCCCCCTTCTTAGCAGGATGGTTTTGAGAGAGAATACAATATCCCCTGACAGTTCGAGATGGGTAGCTCAGGCAGGGCTATTTTTGGGCAGGAACACACAGGGACGGAGTTCCAGCTGGCTCCCAAGTTGGCCACGCCCCGCAGGAACTCATTAGCATAATAGGCCACACCCAACAACAGAAACTCATTAGGATTGGCTACATTAGGGGTGTGTGGCCTAACAGGCAAAGGAGTTCCTGCTACAAAAAAGCCCTGGGTTTTGACAACAGGGGGGGTTGGCCTAACAGGCAAAGGAGTTCCTGCTACAAAAAAGCCCTGGGTTTTGACAACAAACAAGGTAAACAGAATAACAAGCAAAAGGTGGGTGTGGCTGGATAACCACACTTCTGGTAACACGGGGGTGCAGCCTAATGATCTAATGAGCTGTGCTGTCAGGGGTGTGGCCCAATATGCTAATGAGTTCCTGCTGCTGGGTGTGTCCTATTATGCTAATGAGTTCCTGCTGGGCTTTTTCTACAAAAAGAGCCCTGGTAGCTGTATTAGTCTGCAGTAGCAAAATAAAACATGGGTCTAGTGGCATCTTAGAGACAGTTTATTCCAGCATTAAGTCCTTTTGAGTCAGAGTTTATTCCAGCATTAAGTCCTTTTGAGTCAGAGCTCCCTTCACAATGGAGATGGAGAAACATATACCTACCAGAAAGGCAGGTGACGTTACAGGAAATGGGTATTGTTTAAAGCTAACCTGTCAAAACAGTTAGGATCTTGTTTTAAACTGGTCACATTATGAGAAGACAAGAGTCACTGGAAAAGACAATAAGGCTAGGAAAAGTCGAGGGCAGCAGGAAAAGAGGAAGACCCCACGTGGGATGGATTGACTCAATCGAGGAAGCCACGAGGGCCCTCCGACTGCAGAACCTGAGCAAGGCCATTAACAACAGGACATTTTGCAAGACATTAATTCATAGGGTTTGCGACATCTCTCCTCCACTCACCCACTTTTCTGTTGTAATGTATGGATCAACCATAATGGATGTACACTTCGACACACCTGATGAAGTGAGCTGACAAACAAAGTCTCGTACTGGAATAAATTCTTTTTTGGGTCTCAAAGGTACCACGTGCCCCAGCGTAGCTATTTAAAAGCCCCAATCCTCAGAGGCTTATCTGCAAAGCAAAATGCAGCTGTACATCCTCCTTCTCCAAAGAGATGGCTGCCTGAAAGAGCTTACAGAATAAAGCAAGGAGGAGATCTAGCTTGAAAGGGAAAAAACCCACTGCCTGTAGATTGAGCACCACAGTTTAATGCATTATTCTGTTTTCCTTATTTTAAAAAAAATGCACGCTCTTCTTTCTAAGTTCCCTTACACGCAAACAAAAACAGCACATTACAAGCACGCTCACTTACTTTATGAGCCCATAAAGATTCAGTCTGGACAAACCCCCTCTCGCAGTCTTCCGCTTTCGTGCCGGGTGCCTCTTTAGGTTGAACGAACGGATCGGCGCTTTTCTGAGCGATCCTCCCTCCCCTGGCCCGGTAGTCGGACAGCATCGTGGCCAGCTCCTTGCTGCTGCTCAGGGGCTCCGCGATCCGGCTCACCACCAGCTCGTGGGGGGGCAGGATCTGCAGAGGCTTGGCCTGGGTGCTCCCGTTCATCGCCTGCAGCCCGCAGATGTCCCTCAAGAGCTGCTTCTTCCTCCTGCTCTCCAGCTCTTTGCCCTCCTTGTTGAGAAGAGGGGACAAGTAAACCTGCTCCGGGAAATACTCCCTGGTGGGGCACCTCATGCCCCTCTCCGTTAACAGGAATGGCTCCGGGAAGGTGATTATGGGGGAAATACAGAGAATGACGTCCTGCAGCTCCTGGTTGAAGGCCAAGGAGAAGGATTTGAGGCGATCTTCCGAGGAGGTGACTTCTTCTGTGATGTACAATCCGGTGTCGTCTTGCAGGGGATCCCTAAAAACTCTCGTGTGGCTTTTCGGCTCCTGGGGGCTATCCACATCCTGCAGGCTATCCAACTGGTCGCCATCCAAAATCCCCAGGTGGAGTGCCAACAGTGGCTCCGGCAACAGTGTCGGCATAAAGGGCGCTGCAGTTGTTAAATCCACCGGGAGGTGCCCTGGGAGGTCGCTGCTGTCGTCATCAGTCAGAATTTTTTGTTCCGAGGCACTGATGTCGTCGGACGGCACCAATTCCGAGATAATGGGTAGCTTGTCGGGAAACACGTCCGCGTCTTTTATCGTCATGCCGACTTCTCTGCTTGGCAGGTTTTGATACCCGTTTTCTTCTCCCCACTGCTTTTCGGGCGGAGAGAGAAGGGAGCCGTTCCTGGCCAGCATCGGGGGCATGGCGAATTCGTCCATAAGGAAGGAGATCTCCAGCTGGGAATGGTAAGCCACGCAGATCATGAAGATGAGGATCTCCTTCACCCGAGCCAGCTCGTATTCACCGGCGCCGCGCAGCTTAATGGTGCAGCCCAGGTGCTGCGGACACCCGTCAAAAAACATCAACGTTTTTGTTTGCTCTGGGAAATGGGAGGGCAGAGGAAGAGAGGGGAAGAAGATGAAGACAGGCAGTTTTAGCAAGAGGCAAATACACACACAGATCCAAGGCAGCTTGGGCAACACAGTGAAATGGCTTTAGATTCATAAAATGAAATAATTTGAACTTTCCCAAGTGTTAAAATCAACCATCTAAAAAAAGTCATTGCAACCAACACACACAGTAAGGAGAAGAATGCAAGAGATGCCAGGCTGCGCTCCCCCCCCCCCAGCAGAGACAGACAGTGCGGTGCAGAAGTTATAGTATCAGACTAGGATCTGGGAGACACCAGGTTCGAATCCCCACTTGTGCCATGGAAGTTTGCTGGGTGACCTCCGGCCAGTCATATGGTCTCAGCCTAACCTCCATCACAGTGTTATTGTGAGGACAAAAGGAAGAAGGGGAAAATCCTGTCAGTCACTTTAGGTCCCACATTGGGAACAGAAGTGGGGTATTTGATTGTTATTATGTTTTATTGTGTAAGATGTGACGGTGTTTGAAGCTGAAAAAGTAGCAGAGCACTCTGTTGTCTTTACAGAGTATGTACAATTTATTTACAGAGAATATATACAGTTTGTAGCAATTCAGGACTCCAACCATCAAAGTGCTACGCAGAACAGCAGTAACCATAAAGGCAGTGAGTTACCAAGAACTGGTTGCAATATCTACAAGTTTCGACCAATCAGAATACAGTCCTGTACAGTTGCTGAGTCACACCTATCGAAATAATGCAATCTAGAGTCACGTGATCACTCAGCTGTCAAACTAGACTGTCCTGATCTAAACATCCTGTCTACATGACTTGCTGTGATCTTGACAGCTATCTGTATATGCAGACAAGATGCCCTAAGCCTGCTTAGGTAGGGAGGGTGGGGTACAAATTTGAAGTAATAAATAAATAATAAATAAATAAGGAAGCAAGAGATGCTGAACAGCACTAATGACCAAAGGCAGCCTGCTTCATCAGAGGCTTGGTGAAAACAGAGGTGTTTGTGTCAGCTGTCTGGAAAACCAGGTCACCTGGTAGGCTGAGGGAGTTCCTTGGAGAAGGTGGAAGAGGAGGAAGAAGAGGAAGAAGAGGAAGAGGAAGAAGAGGAAGACGACGAAGAAGACGACAAAGAAGAAGACGAAGAAGAAGACGAAGAAGAGAAAGAAGAAGGGAAAGAAGAAGAGGAGGAGGAGATTGGATTTATACCCCGCCCTTCACTCGGAGATTCAGAGCGGCTTACAAACTCCTTTCCCTTCCCCTCCCCACAACAGACACCCTGTGAGGTGGGTGGGGCTGAGAGAACTCTGACACAAACTGCTCTCTTTCAAGGACAGCTGTGCCAGAGTCACATCAGCAGGTGCAAGTGGAGGAGTGGGGAATCAAACCCGGTTCTCCCAGATTAGAGTCCGCACACTTAACCACTACACCAAACCTCTGAAGAGGCCCCTCTTGACTTCTCAGTTCTTGGCACAGGGAGGTTTCTGCTCTCCCCACAAGGTCCGAAGAATATGGAAATTCTCTTACAAAGATGAGCGTGAAGAGTCGTTTTGGGGTAGGGGAACAAATAGTGCGATTCCACCATGATAGGAAATAAGGAAAAGGAAATGCAGGGGAAGATACGCTGCAGTAACAAAGCTAGCGTTGTGCACCTTATGAAATTCATCAGGCGTTAAAATGAGCTTTTCATATCAAAAAAGAACCCCCTTCAATACCCGCTTCTGGGCCCACCAGGCCAGCACTTCTGAGTTTTACTTACCATTAGGCAACTGGAATGCCTGGATGTAAAATTTGTGGCAGGTTCCCAGGTGTGGCTTGGTCAACAACTGGTCCATTGACATCACTAAGTCTCCCTGAGTCATTCGACTTACTCTGTCCAACACTTGCTGTAAGACATTGGTAAGATCAAGGATGTGTCTCAATCTACATCTCGCTTTGCATGACGCAGGGAGAGAATCACAGGTTAAGGGCCGTGGTCCTTAAACTTTCGTCTTCTATTGCCTACCAAGCAGACAACATGATCATCAAGTGCCCTCAAACACAAGATGATGATGATGATAAAAGGATATTATTATTATCATCAACAACATCAATAGTAATATCGTCATCATCATCAGCAACAACAACAGCACCACTCTAGAAAAGACGACTTTAGGTAAAGGTATAATTATGACCAATGCAGAGAAGGAAGATCGAGCTCAAAGCCTCATGGATGGATGGAGAACAGGTGGTGGCGTTTCGTTTTGCTTTTGCCCAAGTGTGGACGGGAGCTGCGGTGGCTCAAGTGGTTAAGATGCTGAACTGCAGGCTGTGGAAAGTCGGTAGTTCAGCAGTTCGAGACCCGAGTGTGCCGCATGAAGGCGTGAGCTCCCGTCTCTAGTTCCAGCTCCTGCCAACCTAGCAGTTCGAAAGCAAGAAATTGCAAGTAGATAAATAGGTACCACTTCGGTGGGAAGGGAATAGCGTTCCGTGCGCCTTGGTGTTTAGTCATGCTGGCCACATGACTAAGGAAACGTCTTCGGACAGCGCTGGCTCTTCGGCTTGGAAACGGAGATGAGCACCGCAACCCTAGAGTCGGATTCGACTGGCTTTCGAGCAAGGGAACCCTTACCTTTTAAGTGTGGACGGGGCATTACTGTTTGATTCCTATTTGCTCCATGCCACTTCAAAGGACCATGGAGAGAAACCTAGCACTCAGCTCAGGGGTGAGGCAGTATTTATTTTTTATTTATTTAATTAATTAATTTCTACCCCGCCCTCCCCGCCAAGGCTTGTCAGGGCTCACTGCAAATGGGGAGGAGGCTTCACCTAAAACCCTAAGAACTGCCCCTCAATATTTGAAGATCCGTATGGCCCTAGTGAAGAATCACTGGGTTAAGACACAAGGCTAAATCAAAGCTATTGACTAGTTTCTGGCTGGGGGTGTAGGCTCCACCCAACACAGAGATGGCACTCAGAAACCAAAACCTGCAACAGTATACCATTAGTGAACTTTCCTAAAACTAAGTAGCTATGTTTTCCCAGGAAAAGCAGAGATAAGGTAACAAAAAAATCATGTTTACAGGTGCAATGAGAAGACATGTGTGAAAGAGACTGGGCTGGAGACGACTCTGTCCTCCAACTCCACGCTTGCAGGATACAGCATCCTTGAACCTTTTGCAAAGACAAGCCAGCTACCAGCTACTTTAGGAAAAGCAAAGCTAGTCTAAAAATCTTCACGAGCACCGTGTGGAGGTGGAAAGTGCTACCAAGTTACAGCTGATTTACAGTTACCCCCTTAGGGTTTTCAAGGCAAGGGACGTTCAGAGGTGGCTTGCCCTTGCCCGCCTCTGCATAGCAACCAGTGTTCCCTCTAAGCTGAGTTAGTGTGAGCCAGCTCACAGTTTTTAAGCATCTGGCTCACACATTTTTGTCTTAGCTCAGGAATGAGGGCTCCACAGCAAACTAATTTATGCAGGATCCAAATCGCTCGCTCACAACTTTAATGCCAGCAGCTCACCAAGTAGGATTTTTGCTCACAAGACTCTACATCTTAGAGGGAACATTGATAACAACCCTGGACTTCCTTGGCAGTCTCCCATCCAAGTACCAACCAGGGCCGGCCCTTGCTTAGCTTCCGAGATCCTGACAAGATTGGGCTAGCCTGGGCCACCCAGGTCAGCACCCACACACACACTGCACACGAACACAAAGATTCTTAAACTAATGAGTAACTGGACAGAGAATAGCCAGCAATCTATTTACGTCTCCAAGAGCATTTTCCTTTGTAGTGGTTCATATTTAAAGGCGAACACCCCTAACTCCATTGAGAATCCCTGCACCTACCGGCTTGACGTTCGTGACTAGAGTAATGCCATGTTCCAGCAGCAGTTCCTGGGCGATATGGGCCACCGTTTTCTCGACCAGGACCAAAGTGGGCCTGACGTCCACTATCCGCTGAACGTAGTTCTTCAAAAACTCCCTTTCCTAATACAGCGAGAGGAGGTCAGGTGTCAGCGCTGAGAGTTCAGACAGTGCCTGGAGGATTAAGTGCCTTTCACACTTACAAAATGTTTAACTGGAAGGGATTCTCATTAAAACTGAGACATAGCAGCCCGAAACACACACACACACCCTTCTTCCCCCAGGACTCCAAAGCCAACTTTTCTGGCAGGAAAATTAGGAAATCCTGCAAAGCACTAAAAAAAAAAAAAAAAAGGCCTATGAAATATTTTCTCTGCTTTTGGAATGAGTGAAATGCTTTAAGACAAGGTTACTTACACTAAATACACAGCGTGAAACGTTTCTTCCTTAAGATAACCTACTGCATTAGATAACAATAATCTCTGTGTATGCAGTAGACCAGTACAACACTTTTGAGGAACTTCGGTTTAAATGTAAGTTTGGCAACAACAACTGATATATTGTTATGCATCTGTAAGTAATTCAAGGATTCGGGTTTTTTCAGAGTTAAAAGTTTAAAATACCTAGTCCTGCTGTTATGATTGCATGAAACTGTTTCTGTCCAAATACAGTTATTCTCTTTACTGCAGAATTTGCTTCATTTCAACTATTATTTCTATCTCTGAGATGGCATAAATTAAGACGTGTGCTAAGGCAGCACAGGGTACATATTGCAGCTCTTAATGTATTGGTTGTATTTGTCATTTTGCTTGTAAGAGAACTAAGACATTTATAATTTAAAATTCCATAAATAGGCTAAATAGTGCAATTTATTATACTCTACGTTATGAACAGGTTAGACTGGTAAATCAGCAAAATAAGCCAGGTTTGCTGGGTAAGTATTGTATATATTCCAAATTTTGTTTCCTCCCCAAAAAGGAAAAAGCGTTAATCCCCATGGCTTCAAAACTTCCAGGAACTTTATATTTCTCCCAACAGCTCAGACAGCTAAGCAGTGGGATTTTCATACCAAGATGGCAATAAAAACTGAAGATAGTTGGTTTTGCAGTAAAAACAGATTCAAGACCCGTAGCACCTCAAAGACCAAAAAGATATCTCACTGCAGATGCTGATTTTCTGCCCTCCCCCCACATTTCCCCTCTGCTCTAATCAAGGTGATAATAATATGCATGGTAGCTTTGCATCCTTTATGAGGATTATTTATAGCATCCCTCCCGCTTCCCTGAGTCCTTATATCCCAGTCCAGAAGTGGGAGGGATGCTGTAAAGCAGGGGTGTCAAACATGCGGCCCGGGGGCCAGATCAGGCCCTTGGAGGGCTTCTATCATGCCTGCAGTGAAACTGGCCATCTCCTGCTTCTTCTTCCAGTTCTGCTGCTGCTGCGTCATTGTAGGTTTGCAGCTTACAGATACACACCTGAACAGCATACTCAAGATTGCCACAGCACAGACGTTTTGATGCAATAATTCAGAGCAAGAGGTGTCCGTCATCAGACACTGTTAAATAAACAAAATATTGCAAGAGTGCTAATGTTTTAAGCATGTTTTTATTTTAAGTTTTTTAAAAAACACCCCTTTGTGTTTGTGTCCTTTAGAAAGTTTATATCTCGGCTACCTGGCATTACATTTTATGACACACGTGACCCGGCCCAACGAGGTCTCATTTATGTCAGATCTGGCCCTCATAACAAATGAGTTCGACACCCCTGCTGTAAAGGATGTCCATAAAGGATGCAAAGGTACCACGCATATTATCATCACCTTGATTAGAGCAGAGGGGAAATGCCTGGGGGGGGGGCCAGAAAATTAGCATCTAACCCCCTATCTCCATTCCTACTCGTGTCTGACAAAGGGAGGTTTGACTCTCGAAAGTTTACACCCTGAAACTCGTGTGGGTCTCCAAGGTGCTGCTGGACTTGAACCTAACAATAAAAACTGAGATACTCCGTCATGGAGATCAGCTGGATACTCTTGGACCAGTCAGCCTCACCCCCTCCACACAGGGCTGCTGCCATGAGGACAAAATGGAGAGTGATGTTGTAAGGTGCTCTGGGTCTCTACTGGAGAGAAAAAGCAGGAGATAAACAATTACAGGGAAGGGTCCAATCCTCCAAGCGGTCTTCCTCCAGCTTGTCGCTCTTCCTCCAACAGAAGAGCCACTTAATTTGGAGGAAGACTTCAGCCTTGAACCTAAAGCAAAGGGGTGTGCGCGAATATTTAAATAACCAAACAGACTTTGCTCTGTGGAGTGGTAAGACCGGGGTAGGATCCACCCCCTGTGAGCCATATTCTGCAAATGTGCTTTAAGAAATATTCATAGATTCATATTTACAAAAATACAGATTCTACCCACTTGACGGACTATAGGATCTATACACGTAAACTTCGTTTCTTCTCGGTAGAGGTATTCAATGGAACATTTCAACAGAAGGATTTTGGGGGTTTTAATACAGAAATTCATCTGAGGGGGAAGAGAAAAAGAGACAAAGTTGCTGAATGCAAAGAAATACCATTTTGCATATGTATATAATGTTCACGTTGCAAATTTTTGACCTCCCTACTGAAAACAATGTCAAAAAAGAAAAGAAAAGAAATAGAAAACTCACAACTTTAATGCAAGTAAAGAACTACAGAAGTTGCCTTTTGTACCTGTTCATTAATGTTCATTGTAATAAGCGTATACATTTTTTTAGGTCACATAAGAAGCTGCCTTATATTGAATCAGCTTTTGCACTGGTTAGACTATAACCCTGTTTATGTGTCTCAGGACGATCTTCTGTTGATTAAAGTTGTTCTGATTATTATGTGATTTTTCTAGAGGCCTTTGCACAAATCAGATTGTTATCAAATAACTCTGCTTATATGTCTTAGGACTATTTGGTGCTTGGGGGGGTCAACAGTGGGAAGGATTCTAATGTCCTGGCCCCACTGGTGGACCTCCTGATGGCACCCGGTATTTCTGGCCACTGTGTGATACAGAGTGTTGGACTGGATGGCCATTTGGCCTGATCCAACATTGGCGTCTCTTATGTTCTTATGTTATTATTTTCTGTTCTGATTACTACGTGAGTATCTTTCTACTGTTTGTGCTTAGTAGATATATTCATTGCAATTGCTTTGTTTAAAAAAAACCCTGCACTTAAAACTTTGTTAAAAATTCTTTATGGTTTTCTGTGCTTATTTTCACAGTTTGTTTCTATACATTTCTTCTGCATTTTGCTGACTGTGATTCCTCTAGATTGTTATACTAAATCAGACCTTTGCTCCATCAAAGGCATTATTGTCTACCGAGACTGGCAGCAGCTCTCCAGGGTCTCAGTTGGAGGCCTTTCATATAGCCTACCACCTTGAGCCTTTTAACTGGAGATGCAGGGGATTGAACCTGGGACCTTCTGCATGCCAAGCAGATGCTCTGCCATTGAGCCATGGCCCCTCCCCGCACATCTGTCTCTGTGTTATGGCTTCTAATTGTTGACTCGTTTGCTATTCCTGTGAAATTTCGTTCCAATAAAATGGAACGTATGACACAATTCTGCTCCTATGAAGCATAACTCATTAAGCGCCAGCCTTGCATGTGACTCAGGTACAGATGTTTTGACTTTTCAGGCATCCAGTGGACTGCATCACCAAGAGGTGCGGTGGCCAGATCCTTGTTCTGATCCTGTGCACATCTGAACACAAGTGTTTTGCCAAACAGGCACTTACAGAAGGTAAGCAGGACCTATGCAGAACTTGGGCAAAAACATACGTTTTGCTAATAATCCAGGTCTGATGATTATTTGGCAGGAGTGTCAAAACATTTATTTATTTATTTAACTTTACATCTGCTATACCGCCCTAACCCCTAGGGGTCTCTGGGCGGTTTACATTTGTTATGGTTCTAGGAACCTTTCTTCCCTAACTTGGGCCACAAGTGATAGGATGGGGAAACCTACCAGCACCCTAGTTGGAGCGTGGCCTGCAGGCTGGAACCGGCCTGTCCAGGGCTCTTACCCAGCTTGTGAACAACTGGTCATTATGTTTATTGCCAGATGACCAAGACCAGGGGTCGTTTCGTAGAAAAAGAGCTAGGGGAACTCATTAGCTTAACTCATTAGCATATGCCACACCCCCTGACATCACCGGAAGTGTCATAAGGCCACACCCCCTGACATCACCGGAAGTGTGTCATAAGGCCACACACCCTGCCCCCAATGGTCCCGGCCGCCGCCACCGGCCTTGCAGCTCCACTGCAGAGACCTGCAAGGCCGGCGGGAGTGCAAGGAAGCCCCGCGAAGGCCCTCCCTGGCCCCAGGCAGGCAGGGGTGGGGAGAGGCAGGGAGGAAGCAACTTACCCTCCCTCTTCTCCTGCCTCCTCCTGGCTGAATGAGGGCCGGAAGCGGGGCGGCCGGAAGCGGGGGCGGGGCTTCGACATGTGCCCCACCCACCGTACCTCACCCGGGGGAACTGCAATCCCCCACGATCCCCACGATCCCCCCGAAATGACCTCTGACCAAGACTGTGCATTATATCCCTGTATAATGTCCCAGTGCTAATGAGTAATGCATGGTGGAAGTGGGAGGGTGGGCATCAGGGAGAGACTGTAAGGAAATACTGAAAGAATGTTAATGGCTTAAGCATGTTTGTATTTCAAGTAAAAAGTAATATCGTTAACTGGGTCTGCCTGTGTCCTTTATAAAGTTTATATCTCCCGTACCTGGCATTACATTTTATGGCACACGTGGCCTGGCCCAACAAAGTGACATTTATATCAGATCCGGCCCTCGTAACAAATGAGTCTGACGCCTCTGTTAGGGAGCAGCGTGATGGAATCCAAGTCACAACCTTTCTAGTACTAAGGAAGAGAGCAAAACTGGGGAGCTGCAGAGCTGTTTCTTCACAAGGAAATGACAGGGAGCAGAGACATTTCTCCAAACGAGCCTTTCCTCAAGGTATACAAACTCAAGTACAGCTGCATCCTACCTTTTTATGAACGATGTTCTTGGTGCACACAAAACCATTCACCATCATCGAGTCAAATTTCTTCCCACCGGGAATCTGGCAAACAGAAAAGATCATTACGTTTCATCTCCTCGTTTTCCAGACACGCCTAGTTTTGAGCTAATACGCAGAGATGTTTTAGAGGAAGGGCTTTTTACCACAACCATCAAGAAGCCAACCAGAAACAGCCTTGGAAAGACGTGACCTGAGCTAAGTTCCTTTGAACAGCTCCTCTATGGACCAGAGAACTCTGCCTATGATTTCAATCACTTAGTTTAGGGCCTTTCTGCACCATCATTCTGTTTGCCTTACACTCAACATTCAGCTGATGTTCACTTGTTGGGTTTGATCCAGGGTGACGTTTCCACTTGCACTAGAGCTCTTGCGCGAGAGGAAGCACAAGAAAAAGAGCACGATAGCCACTTGCACCAAGTCTAACTTATTGTAGTCCCGCTTGCATTTCTAGTTGGGCAAGAATTAGTGTAACACAATTTCTGGGCACTATAATAGATAGGGAAGAAAGTGCTGGTGTTATGCAAGACCTTGTGCAAGTGTAACTGTTCCAAGTCCACTCATGTTTAGAGCTTCTGCATCGCTGGATCCAAGCCGTGGATTACAATCTAGACATCCTGGAAGTACTGTTCTTTCTGAGGAATCTCTCCTTTTCACAGCACTCAAAATAACAATGTGCTGTAGATCAGGAAAGACTGTCCCTTTCGCCACCTAACTGGACTGTACAATCTGAAGTATTCGCATATAACATGGTAGGAAGAATCTTTTTTTTTTAAAAAAAGTGCATTTTAACTTTCGAGATTGAGAGCTCCCCTGCTAGGCACAGAGGTGGCACATAATACACCCACAACCCACACAGATGAATGCCAGCTAGTCTTCCTCCTTGCCAACACTAGCCTCCCCCCCCCCAAACGTTTAAAGAGCTTCTCTGAAGACATGCAATTTGAGCACTGGGTGAAGATAGATCAGCAATCCCCTCCCCACCCCCCACCCCGCTTTCCACCTCTTTGCTCTGCTCCTTGTAGCTTCACCCAGTGCTCAAACGAGAAGTAAACCAAAGAGCCGTAGCCGAGGTCTGTGCAAGTTTGTTCACACACAAGTCCAAAAGTGCCTGTGACACACAACCTTGAGCAAGGATTTAACTGCTGAGTAATTCCTGAAGGTGTAATTAACAGGTTGCCGTTGTTTATATAAACCAAGTCTCTGAAGGTACTTCTGAATCCAAACCCAAAGACATCGAGCTAGCTTATCAGTTTTCCATTTCACAACTAAACCTTTGTTGTTGTTGTGGTTACCATCAAGTTGCAGCTGACTTATGGCGACCCCACAGAGTTTCCAAGGGAAGAAAACAAACAGAGGTGGTTTGTCACTGACTGCCTCTGGACTGACTGCCCCTAATAGCCTCCCATCCAAATACTAACCAGGGCCGACCCTGCTTAGCTTCCAAGACAGGGCTAGCCTAGACTATCCAAGTCAGGGCAAGGAAACTTTAGTGATGGTATTCACTTGGCCAGTCTTAATATTCATGCAATCAGGCATAAGACTAAATAAAACCTTATCTCCTTCCAGCTGTAGCCTATATGAAGGGGATTATAAATCGCATTCAAAAGCACAGAGAAACAAAAAGTTTTCAAAGGAGTTTATAACTAAAAAACCCCAACACACAACCAAGCAGCAACCAAGTCCTATTTGAGCCTTGGCAGAAAAAGGGATGAAGTTGGGGTGGAAGCAGCCATTTACAGTAGTTTCAAAGGGAAACAACAGAGAACCCCAAAAATGCCAGTATAATAATCTGGTTCAAGGGCTAGTTCAGACCTATTCACCTTGCGACCCGGCAGCCATGCTCTGGGGGCTTGCCAGTGGTCCAAACAGATCTCCCGTTTCTACAGACCAAGAAAAGTTAAGTCAGGGGACACAAGTCCCGTGGGCCTGGACTCATTTCAGCTTGTTAGGGCAGAAACTCCCGCCGGAGCCTTTTCCATTGTTCAACAACCAGCCTGCCTCTGAAGTGCTGGTCTTTCTCTTTCCTTCCTCGGCTCCTGTCCCGCCAACTCACCTTTTTGACATGGACGAACTGGCGGATGTCCATGTCGTCATCTCTGTTCTTGACGTCAGGACGGACGGTCTGAACCACCTGGCAGACAACGGGCACAATGATGTCCCTCCAGGAGAGGGATAAGGATTCGCTGTACAGCAACTGCTGGAGCAGTGCCAGCATGTGGTTGTGATTGGCTGAGCTGCAGCGAAAGGGTAAAAAAAAAAAAAGAATCAGAAGAAAAGTAACTCCTGTTACGAAGGGCTCTTATTCTTTCATTGGTCAACAGCTTCTACGAGATCCATCCACCCGACAAGGGCACATCCTTTACATTTAACATGTTCGTCTTTGCCTGAAAATGAACTTGTAACTCTAGATTTCAAGCAGAGGTCATTTCGGGGGGGGATCACGGGGGATCGCAGTTCCCCCGGGTGAGGTACGGGGGGCGACCAGGGAGGGCCTTCGCGGGGCTTCCTTGCACTCCCGCCGGCCTTGCAGGTCCACCGCCGGGCCCCTCAAGGGGCTCGGCAGTGGAGCTGCAAGGCCGCCGGCGGCGGCCGGGACGGTTGGGGGTGGGGTGTGTGGCCTTATGACACACTTCCGGTGATGTCAGGGGGTGTGGCCTTATGACACACTTCCAGTGATGTCAGGGGGTGTGGCATATGCTAATGAGTTCCCCTAGCTCTTTTTCTACGAAACGACCCCTGATTTCAAGGTATCATGGTGAGCCTGAGTTACAAGCCATCAAGCCACAACTAGCTCATGACAACTCTTAGTGGGGTTTTCAAGGCAAGAGATGAGCATTTGCCATTGCGCTCCTCAGCACAGCAACCGTGGACTTCCCTGGTGATCTCCCCATCCAAGTACTAACCAGAGTCCATCCTGCTTAGCTTTCAAGCTCTGATGAGATTGGGTTAAACTGGGGTATTGCGCTGCTCCTTAAGAGAACATAAGAACATAAGTTGGATCAAGCCAATGGCCCAGCCAGTCCAACACTCTGTCACACAGTGGCCAAAAATACCAGGTGCCATCAGGAGGTCCACCAGTGGGGCCTTAATCTTCCTTAAGTCTCGATTAATACTGATTTGTCCCATTCTAACCCATACGGTACAATATTCGTATGCAGAATTCACTACAATATTCGCAAGCAGAATTCACCTCATTTTCCCCCACAGAGGCATTTATCTGAAGTTACCCCGATATGCAAGACTTCCTCTATTACAGGAACATCTTCAAAACTAGCATGCCCTCTGATGAGATACATCCACTGTTTTTACACAAGAATGTATTTCAACTCAGTTGCCTCCTCATATGATAGAAAGAGGTTTTGTGCAGCCCTTTTGCTACCTCAGATATTTATATCCAAAGAATATAATGTACAGGCTATTATTGGAACCAAAACCAGGTAGATGGAAGGAAATGACAGATTCCCACTGTGAAATATTTCATTAAGTAACCTCCAGCACTGACACTGTAAATATTGATAGTACCAACTGCAAGAGCAAGGGAACCGAATAAACCCTTCCACCTTAAGAATCCACAGAGGCCCAAAGAAAGGTACACTCTAGACTTCGGCACTCCCATGACCCAACTTACAGCAGTCTCTCCATCGCTTGCTTTTCCCCATTTTCCTCTCTCAGCAAGTCAAGGTTGCTATGGTGCCACCCCAACGGCGTGAAGAAAAGATCTTTGGATTTCTCTTCCACCCTCCGATTGAACAACGACTCTAAGAAACAGTACGGGAAAGGGGGGAGTTGTGAGATTATAATGCATGGACACAATTCTTCCTTCTAACAAATCAGCCTATTTGTCCATCAAGGTCAGTACTGTCTACTCAGACTGGCACCAGCTCTCCAGGGTCTCAAGAAGAGGCCTTTCACATCACCTGCTCTGGGATCCTTTTAACTGGAGATGCCAGGGAACGACTCTGGGACCTCCTGCATGCCAAGCAGATGCTGAACTGCCAAGCCCTGAGGCCTCCTCAATACCACCCTTTTTTCAAAGTGATTTTGCAAACAGCCGTTTTATGCAACATTTTCCCTACATTGGTGGGTGCTGCTACACAGGACACATCCTTTAAGAGGTGCCTATCTGCCATAAGCTAATTGATTCTCCAGCTCAACTGCGTGACCTATTATACCTGAAGCTCTGTGTGTCAGCCAGTTCATGGGCTCCGGCAAAGAAACTTGTACAGAAGTATTACTTGTCATTTAGGTTTGCTCTCTTTTAGATTTGTGGGGGGCTTTCATGAGTCACTTCTCACTTCTGACTCATGGAAGCTTATACCCTGCTACAAATTTTGTCGATCTTTTAAGGTGCTACTGGACTTTTGCTCTTTTCAGTTTGTAAACCTGGTCACTGAAACTACTGCATAAATCCAACCTCACCTTCCAGATGAACTAATCCAACACTTACTTAATATGACCTATACAGTAAAAACAGTCGCACATTTATATCAGATGATAGAGGAGACGATAGGGGATTCCCTGAACACAGGCATCCCCGATTCCAGATTAAATTCCAAAAGGACCTGGGGATGGGGTTTAACTGGGTGGTACGTGTGACGCAGCAATGTATTTATTTTATTTAAAACCCCTTTTTTGTGCCACCTTCCCACCCAACTTAGGATCCCCCCCCAAAGTAGCAGACAATCAAAACGTTAAAAACAAGCTTTAAAAGATATAAAAGCAATGAAAAATGCAACACAAAAATGAAAAAGGAAGGGCCAGTGACAGATTACCAAACAAAACAGAAAAGTCTTCACCCAATGGTTGACGGGGAACAGACGAAATCTTCCCAGGGAGGTCACTGTATTTATTGCCAAAATATCCTGCTGTAGTTTTTGGAAGAATATTTGCAACATGCTTCTTGGCAAGCTTTTGCTTTTAAGAGACAGATTTTTTTTTAAAGTAGCCAAAAATTTAAAAGACAATGGAACTATTAAGGTATTATTTTACTGAAAAACTACTTCAGAGGTCCAGCATTATGAGATTTTTGAACTGTGAAGGGTACAGGGGTTTCTTATAGGCCCCGGCTGCTTGTCTGAAGAAGCCAAGAAGCAGAAAACTGAGCTTCGCTTTTATTATGAGAGGGACAGGAACACACACAGTGAATACCAGTCATCAGCTTAAAAAGGAGCTTCAGGTAGCTCCTTCTGTGTGCGTACACAGAACTGTTTGAACAGGATGCTCACGCAAGCTTGAAACTGTGCCACACAGCGACAGAAGCCAAAGGGAAAGGACAGATGGGGTCACATTTGACGTTTGCCTGCAGAGGTTTCATCAGGCTTGGGACGCAATCCCGTTTTGCCCTAATGCAAGAAGCTTTTCACAAACAAGTGGTGAGGATAACACACCTTTAAACTGAACACTCGACACCTCCACTGGCCGGAAAACGAATTCCCACCCCCCCTTCCCCTTACCTTTGATGAAAGCGTCGCTTATTGAGATCATCTGTTGCCCTCCGTTGTCTGCAATCAAGTACTCTGAAAGAAGAGAGCGAGCAAAAAGAAAAAAAAGAAAGGGATAATGTATGGAGATGGGAGAAGAAACTAAGGAAACGACAGGTTGGGCTGGTGTGGCTACTGTAATTACAGGGCTTCCACGCCCACTCCAAAAGCAAGAGAAAAAACAGTATTACTCATAGCATATGTTTAGCCTCTGTTGTAGTAACAGCTCCAGAAAGCGAAAGGCTAGAAATAACCTTGACTTCTCTCGGGCTCTGTCTCTGCATCGGCATGCCTCCTAAATATTAAGGATCTATCTGCCCAGAGTGATAGGGAAAAGACAACAAGGGCAGAGAGCCCCCTTTCTGAATCCACACTGACTCCGTTTACCTAATGGCTGGATAACCTTCCACTGTGGAGTTTCACGCAGCAAGCGAGGGTTCAGATAAGACCAGAAAATAAAAAACCAAGGCTGCTGTTCACATATTTTTATATTAATTATCCCCCCCCCGGGCTGTCACTCTCGACAAACGACTTATGTACAGCGGGGAGGCAACACCCTGGGATCCATTATGCGGGTTACTAAAGAGAGGCCCTTGTCTGGGACAATTGCAGTTTGTCGAGAGGATGGAAAATACTGGCGAGGGAAGGGGAAAAGAGCCCTGAGCGGACTCTCTGCCGTGAAAGGTCAGCTAATGCTGCAGCCGAGAGAACCGTCCAGGGACTGTAACCTGCCAATTCTGCTCTGCAGTCTCATGTTCACAACAGTAATCGTTGCCATGAAGAGACAGCAGAAGTATCTCAGTTTCAAAACTTGCCCTGTATGGTTACACTCAATAAGGGAAGCGAGAGCCCAAAGAGGTTATCTGAATACAACCAGCCACACTACTCAGCTGAGCGTAAATATCTTTCCTCCAAACGTCCCTCAGTTTGTAGAGCCCCCCCCTTTGCCTGACTCTCCCCAGGGGTGAAAAAACAAAACAAGAAAGTCTCTATTTGGCCTCCTAGAGCATCATGCCGGAAAAACTCTGAAGCGGCTCCCCAAAACCTTACTCAAGCCCTGTTCCAGGATATGACAGCCTTCCCTGCTCCCACTGAAATTTCCAATAGGTTAGGAAAAACATCTGCAAATATCACACAGACCCAGTATTTAGCCATTTAAAAGATTGCCTTGCTCTATCACTCCCACAACAAAATGTGCACGTTTTCTTAAGATGCGAAGTCTCCTTTAAAACAGGACAGAACTCCCACCCAACAGTGTGAATGGAAGACCAGCCCCCCCACCCTGCCCACACTCCCCCCTGTATTTTTAGAATGTTCAAAACCCACTTAAAGCAACAGCAGTTCTACTGCGATGCTAGCTTCCAGCACTGAAAATCTACACACACGGCAAACCCAATCTTTATCTACAGGAAAAAGAGTCTTCTCTTGCCCCCCCAATTCAGTACATGGTAGATTTCTCTCTCTATTGGTTCTGCCTTCCTTGGGTCCCTCAGCATGCCTTGTTACCCAATTCCTTCCTTCCTTCGCCTGTTTTTAATGCCTAAGCAGCTCCAGTTTCAATTTACTATAAATAACTCACATATCACTGCAAGTTGTAAATACAGCCCTTCCAGAACTACTCTGCACTGTATGAATCCTACTTCATAGAGTTTAGGACTGTGAAGTTAGAGGCAGCCTTCGAAGAGGCTTAATTTATCGGACACTGTTGCAGAGGTGCGATACTTCAAGACCAGAGGCTTGAAGGAGAACGCACTGCACATGTACAAAAAAAACAAACAGAAGTCTAGCAGCACCTCCAAGTCCAGCGGCTTTTCTCCGGCACAAGCTATTCCGAGTCAGAGCTTGCTTCATGAAACGCACGGAGGTACAGCCACCGCAATGGGGAGGTATTACAAAGGGAACATGGAAGAAAATCAACCCGTTCTAGTCAGAGTGGGTGAGGATCACTCCTGCGTGTTCAAGAAGGGCCAGAGGGGTTTTAACATAAAATCAGATGTAATCTTGTATTAATTCTGCTCTGCCCGTCTTCAGCAGTTGACGGTAGTGGTGTAGTGAGCCAACGTGGTGTAGAGGGTAAGAGTGCTGGATCAGTCCACAAGTGCTGTCCTGTCCACAGCGCTGTTTATGACCTTTTTCCACTGCCCTTACTGTTTTGGATACTATCTGGACACTGAAGTTTCCTCGGGTGATTAGTTCATAAGGCACGAGCTTGGAACTGCTATTGTCATTTATTGTTTTACTGTCTTTACTGCTTGTGGATTTTATGTTGTGAGCCGCCGTGAGCCCATTTTGGGGAGTAGTTGTTGTTCAGTCGCACAGTCGAGTACGACTCTTCGCGACCCCATGGACCAGATCATGCCAGGCCCTCCTGTCTTCCGCCATCCTCTGAAGTTTGCTCAATTTCATGTTTGTTGCATCTATGACACTGTCTAACCATCTCATCCTTTGCTGTCCCCATCTTCTTTGACCTTCAGTCTTTCCCAGCATCAGGGTCTTCTCCAGTGAGTGCTCCCTTCTCATTGGGTGGCCAAAGTATTTGAGCTTCAGTTTCATTATCTGGCCTTCCAGGGAACAGTCAGGGTTGATTTCTTTTAGGATTGACTGATTTGTTCACCTTGCAGTCCAAGGGACTCTCAAGAGTCTTCTCCAGCACCATAGTTCAAAATAATCTATTCTTCGGCGGTCTGCCTTCCTTATAGTCCAACTCTCGCAGCCATACATGACTACTGGGAATACCATTGCTTTGACCATGCGGACTTTTGTTGGCAGGGTGATGTCTCTACATTTTATCATGCTGTTGAGGTTCGCCATCTCTTTCCTCCCAAGGAGCAGGCGTCTTTAAATTTCATGACTGCTGTCACAGTCTGCGGTGATCTGGGATCCCAGGAACGTGATGTCTGTCACTACTTCCACGACTTCCCCTTCTATTTGCCAAGGAGTGATGGGGCCGGATGCCATGATCTTAGTTTTTTTTTATGTTGAGCTTCAAGCCCACTTTTGCGCTCTCCTCTTTTACCCTGAGCAAGAGGCTCTTGAGGTCCTCTTCACTTTCTGCCATCAGAGTGGTATCGTCTGCATATCTGAGGTTGTTGATCTTTTCCCCAGCAATCTTAATGCCCGCTTGTGATTCATCTAGGCCAGCATTTCGCAGTCTCTTTAGGGACCTGCCATAGAGTAGGGCGGGGTACAAATTTAATAAGTAAGTAAATAAATTAGTATCTGGGAGACCCAAGTTCGAATCCCCACTCTGCCATGGAAGCTCGCTAGGTGACCTTGGGGCAATCGCATTCTCTCACCCTCACCTACCTCACAGGGCTGTTGTGAGGATGAAATGGAAGAGACGAAAACGATGTAAGCTGCTTTGAGTTCCCCCAGTGGAGAGAAATGTAGGATACAAACGAATAAAGGAAAAATAAACAGATAGTGTTCCCCAATTCCGAACAGGCTGATTTCTCTCCAGTTGGTTATTGTTTTCAAACTAGCTGCTCTGTTGGAACGTCTCTTCACTTCTGCCTTTCTGTTGCTTGCAATGTTAACTATAAATAACTTCTACGGATGTATATTTCATGTGTCTAATGCACGGAGCTCTGACTCAGTTTTGTCAGTATTTACCGTGCCACTGGGCTTACGTTTAATTTTGCTACCACAGGCTGACAGGGCTACACCTTCTGACATCAATACGAGAAACTCCCTGCCCTAGGATGACATCCTACAACTTCAGACGAAGAACGTGAAGCTGAAACACTTTACAGAAGCCCCAATGGCAACTCCTCCCATTCCTGTTCTTACGCTTACAAGTTTACATGACAGAACAAAACCCAGCAACTATGGTGCCTGGCAGTCTGGCCTTACTTTTCCTGCGTTCACTGCCGAGTTTATATGCATCAACCCAGAAGCATCGCCCCAGAAGTCAAGAGCCTTTCTTCCAGGGAATCAGACTTTAAAAGACTTTGAGGAGCTTTAAAAGGGGATTCACTGTGAGAGGATGCAGCGATGGCCACAGGCACAGACAGCTTTAAAAGGAGATTAGACAGATTAATGGGGGAAAGGCCTATCAGTGGCTACTAGCCGCGGTGACTAAAGCAAACCTCCACATTCAGAGGCACTAATCCTCTGAATCCCAGTGCCAGGAGGTAACATCAGGGGAAGGCCCCGGCCACTACACCCTGTTGTTGGCTTCCCAGAGGAGGAGGAGGAGGAGGAGGAGGAGGAGGAGGAGGAAGAGGAGGAGTTCGGTTTTATACTCCACCCTTCACTTGGGAGTCTCAGAGTGGCTTACAATCTCCTTTCCCCTCCTCTCCCCACAACAGATACCCTGTGAGGTAGGTGGGGCTGAGAGAGTTCTTCGAACTGCTCTTGAGAGAGCAGCTCTGAGAGAACTGGGACTGACCCCAGGTCACTCCAGCAGCTGCACGTGAAGGAGTGGGGCAGTGGGGAATCAAACACGGTTCTCCTAGATTAGAGTCTGCGCTCTTAACCACTACACCAAACAGGCTCTCTGAGACAGGATGCTGGACTAGGCAGATCACTGGTCTGATCCAGCAGGACTCTTCTTATGTTACACAGATTCAGGCAGGAGAGCAGAGCTACAGGTGCAGCCTCATTTGGAATACTTTGTGCAGTTCTGGTCACTGTATCCCAATAAGGCCACTGTATACCAAAACTGGGAAAAATAGAGGCGGGCAACCTAGACGATTAAGGGGTTGGAACCCCTTTTCCTATGAGGGAAGGCTACAGAACCTGGGACTTTTCAATCTAGAAAAAACAAACAGCTAAGTGGGGGAGACGACTGAAACTTATTCATTTATGCATGGGTTGGACAGCCATGGATAGAGGGAGTCTTTTCTCCCTTAACACTAGAACCTCAGGGGCACCCGATGTACCTGAGGGGCAATAGAGTTGGGAGAGACAAAAGGAAGGGGTTTTTTTGTCTTAATGATGAAATTAAAATGTGGAATTCACTCGCACTGGCCTCAGGGACAGCTATGAGTGTAGGCAGCTTTAGCAGAGGGTTAGACAGATGCATGGAGGATAGGTCCATCAAAGGCCATGGTGTGCATAGGCAGCAACCCGGAGGCTATATTAGGGGAAGGCTTTGGCCTCCATGCCAAGATGACCACTATTCAAAGCAACAGGACTCAATAGACCACTGGCCTGATCTAGCAGGGCTCTCCTTCTGCTAAGGAACCACACTCTGTACTGAAGCAGGACTGCTACAGAAGTGAGCACCTAAAAGAGCGGACAGAACAGTCTCGTATCCGTGGATGCTTTCATAGACACCCATTTAAAATGGAAGCAGCCATGGGATATATGACTCAGAGCATGGATTCAAAACCCATGCCAGACTTTTAACTTTGTGTTTTTACTCCTCAAGGAGTAACCTATGCTACTTTTATTACGGTATGCATTTAACTCTAGGTGGTAATTAAGTGTTACCCACAAAAAACTCTTGAGCACTGTGGTATTGGCTTGCCCAAGCCAAGCTTACTATATCCCCATATGCATTTCTGCTTGCAGAAGATCTTGTGCCTAACATTTCTGGACATTATAAAATATCGGGAGGAAAGCGGTAGGCATTGCACAAGATCTCGCGCAAGCAGGGCTGCGCAAAGTCCATTTATATTTCCAATTGCAAATTGCTGGATCCAAGCCTCCATCTGGCTGCCAAGTAGCTTAAGTTCATAGTGCTCTTTAAGCCCTTTGGCAATATATTTGTGTCAGCTGCCAATAAAACTTTGAATCGGGTTTTTCAGGATTTCTTGTGAAAGACCTGGAAGACTGACCATTTAAATGTCTTTATCTCAATGAACTACATCAGAACATTTTTTTTGACACATGCAACCACATTATACAAAGCTTAGGGTTATGTCTAAGTACAAGCCAGAGATAAGCCTCATTACTACAGTTACTTCTACAGCATTAGTTTGACTACACATCACTTCGGTCAAAAACGTTTTAGTAAGCAGAAGCTGTTGCGTATCTCAGAGAACTAAGCTGAGAATGACCTTTGTTAGCTTCTCCACATGAGCATGCATAGGTGAATTCGCTTGCTATGTGAGGTAGGTGGGGCTGTCCCTCCTTTTTTTAAAAATGAAAAGGGGGGCAATCTAATTTCCATAGTGGATGGAGTTGGAAAGATGAGGAAAACGAAAGAGGACAGAATGAGCAAAATTCGTGTTTCAGGATTTCAGTGTCTGCTTTCTCAAATGGCAACCACTGAGGGAGAGGTTACCACAGAGAAGCAGAGATGATCACCAGCAGCCTTCTGTTTTAATGCTTTCAAACAAAGAGGTCTGGGTTCTAAACTGTATGGAGACAGCAAGGTCCTGTGGAACCCTAAAGATGCACAGTTTTAAGGTGATATCAGATTTTGTGAGCCAGAGGACACACACACCCCCCCGGTCAGATGCCACAAGAAGTGTGTCCCTGTCATTAAGTTACCTCAGAATCTGGAACAGTCCAACATGGCTACCCCCTCAGGAAGACTGATTTTATACAGAGAACTGTTGTATTAAACATCTCTGCACCGATTACAAAATAAATCAACAACATAATGGCAGGAATTCAGCTGCTGATTTAAAACACATTATAAAATAATGTACATAACACCAAAACCAAAAATATTTAAACCCCTCCTCATTGCACAGACATAAACCAGGAGACCCTAGCACATCTTCATTAGTTGTCAGCCTAATATTACGTTCTAAAGTAAAACTTTCTCCTTGATCAACAGCAGCGTTGTTTAAACAATTTACAGGGCTCATGTAAGCTTCCCTCTATAGCATTTTTAACTTCCACAGAGTTACCAGAATATTTAAATATCAAATATAACCATGAATTATCTGTGGCTGTCTTATTAGGCCATAAGCAGCTTGTATTCTATTAGAAGCTTGTTTGCAATAATCACTGCATATTTAAAACAATATAATTAAATGTAGGTACTCACAGTTACCAAAAGGGGGGGGGGGCATTTTAATTTTATGGTAACTTTGAAGTCTAGGGCCCTGCGAATTGTCCAAACACTTGTTGATACAAGTTTTACCTTGTATTGTAACACTATTCATATTAGGTCAACCATTAATGAAGACACATTTGGTCTCCTGATTTATGACTGTGAGATGACGAGGGTTTTAAGCATTATACATGACGGGACATTTTGTTTCGATTCTATGGTGTATTTGCTTTAAAACCAGCAGTTTCTATTCTGACATATTAGATACAGAGAGATAATCAGGTAAAGGAGATTTTTTTTTCCCCATCAATTTTTTTCTGGTTTGGGGGTTGGTTGTAGGTTTTATGTTTCCTCCCCCCACCCAGTATGAAAGCAGCTTGGCTTTGCTCTACTTTAGGGAAACGGACCAAACGCTCCCAATGTATGTCGAATGACTCAGGCCTGGCATACCCCACACTGGCCTACTAGCTATTGTGAGACCGGTGCCTCATTTGACAGAGCTCTTAAGGCACCTTTGTCTTGAATGCACAGGAAACTACCTTATCCTGAATCAGACCATTAGTCCATCAAAATCAGTAGGGTCCATTCATGCTGGCAACTGCTCTCCAGCACCTTGGTCAGAGGTCATTTACACCACCCACTACCTGACCCCCTTAGCTGGAAATGCCAGGAATTGAACCCGGTACCTTCTGCATGCAACGTGGGTGCTTTACCACTGAGCTATGGTCCCTCCCCCTCTTAAACCGGGATGTGCTGGCAATTTCCACAGACTGGGATATGATTTTGCCTCCCCTCTCTGGACACAGCCCAAAACACACACACACACCCCATGGTGCTAAGGGGGGGCAGGGGAACTCCCCAGGAACAGCACGAAGGGAGAATCAACCACAGCACAGCAGAGCAGAAAGAATGGCGGGGTAGGAACCTGGGAGACCGAGGTCTGAACCCCCATTCCTGCCACGGAAGCTTGCTGGGTGACCTTATTACATACGATATCAGTGATGGATTAAGCAACTGATATATGGTTTTTTGGGTAGGGACAACCTGTGTGAACAAATGGCTGCTTCTAAGGCACGTTACACAAGAAACTGCGCACCCTACGCTGACCGTCTGCAGTTTCAAGGTCCTTTAAAACAACAGGAAGCCACGTGGCTAGGCAGAATCAACCCAGGGGATGGGGGGGCAGAGACCGCATTCAGATCAACAGCTATCTGAGGAGCCCTAGCCCTCACCCTTGAGCATCTCCAAGGGGGGGGGGCGGTGTAACCACCTCCTACCTTTCTGGTCGGCAGGGTGAGGGGGCACGTGAGGGTACTTGGAGTGCTTCTTGATATGGAAGTTCACGTTGTCCAGCTCCACGTTCAGGCTGATGGAAGCGGCTGAGTCGCTGTCCATGGCAGACTGGAAGCTGCTGACTGAGGGACGCTTGCTAGGGCTGGCGGAATCTTTTGCGATTCGGGCAGGGGGGGGGAAATACAGGGAGGAGAAGGGGTGGGTGGGTTCAGACGGGTGTGTACGGAAGATATCAAGGAGAGGAGAGAAACGGTCTTGAATTACACAAAGCCCATTGTGCAATGCTATAAGCAGAGAGACAGACAGAAAGAGACAGACATGGTGTTTTTATCTACTCGAGCCCTGCCAGCATCCGTCGCCTTCAGATGCAGTCAAAAGGCTGTTTGTTCATTTTAGTTTTTTTTAAGTGGAGTAGCCGCCAGGCCAACAGGAGGATTCACACGGCTAAAGCACAGACGTCTCAAGCTAGTTTGGAAACCGGAACAAACGTCTGTAGCAGGCCACACGGGGGGTTGGGGATACTGCCTCTGCTTCAAAAGGGACTAATTAAAGCTTTTTTAAAGGACTACGGCAGCTGCAGGCAAAGCCAAGCGGGAACTTTCACTGGTTGTTAATAATTCAGACTCACTGGTCATGTTATCGTCTCCTTCTTCAGCAATCTGTTCTGTGTCGCTGTCATCGAATTTGATGTCTTTGAACCAAGAGGGTTCAGAATGGCCTTCCACTGAGTTGACAGAATCACTGTCCGGAGAGGGGGTTTCCGAAAATTCTGTACTCTGTGAGATCGCAATAGGAAAAGAAAAAGAAGAAGAAGAGATTGGATTCATACCCTGCCCTTCATTTGGAGTCTCAGAGCGGCTTACAAACTCCTTTCCCTTCCCCTCCCCACATCAGACACCCTGTGAGGTAGGTGGGGCTGAGAGAGCTCGCTTGAGAACGGCTCTTTTCAAGAACACCTCTGACAGAACTATGGCTCGCCCAAGGTCATCCAGCAGCTGCAAGTGGAGGAGTGGGGAATCAAACCTGGTTCTCCCAGATTAGAGTCCGCACATTTAACCACTACACCAAACAGGCTCTTTGGTTTCCATCATTATTCTTGAGAGCGTGTCGGCTTTGAAACGGAGATGAGCACCGCAACCCTAGAGTCGGACTCGACTGGCTTTCGAGCAAGGGAACCTTTACCTTTATAGAAATATTCTGGGGGGGAAAGGATGAGTGGACAAGGGGGAAAGGGCTGAGAATAGGATTATGGATAGAAACAAGTTTATGGGGGTGTTTCTGCAAACCTGCAACCAGAACACCCCAGCTTGGATGAATTTGGGTGAACTCGAGCCACTCATTCTCTAAGCCAAAACCACCCCACAATGCTACTGTGAGGGTAAAATGGGTGGGTGGGTGTTAAGTGCCATCAAGTTGCTTCTGATATAATGGAGACCGTAATAAATAATGACCTCCAAAAAGTCCTATTGTTAACAGCCTTGGGCAGGTGTTGAAAACTGAGGGCCGTGGAGCTTTCTTGACTGAGTCAATCCATCTCCTGTTGGGCCTTCCTCTTCTCCCGCTGCCTTCAACTTTTCCTAGCCTTGCTGTCTTTTCCAGGGACTCTTGCCTTCTCATAAGGTGACCAAGTATGATAGCCTCAGTTTGGTCATTTTAGCTTCTAGGGAGAGTTCAGGCTTGATTTGGTCCAGAATGTTCCCTCTAATTTTTCTCCCGACCGAGCAGAGCAGTTCGCATCCTGAGCAGAACAGCTGGTGTAATCTTAAAACGGGCAATGGACAGTGCAAGACACTGCATGGCTCCAGACTGCTGCTGAGCGGGGCTTCCTGTGTCAATGAGCGGACGCTCACGAGCACAGCTCAGAGGGAACATTGTCTAGAACCCACTTAAATTTGTCTCTTTTTTTGGTGGGGGGGAGAACCATATAAACCACCCTGAGATGCTTGAAGGCGGAAAGGCAGGGGGGGGAAATGCACTAAACAAAGGATAAATTGTATGCTTTAAGCCATCAGCACAGTTCTGCTTGTGCAATATCTTGTACAGCATCTAGTGCACGGGAGTCAACATACAACCCATCCAGGGCTCTTATCCGGCCCGTGAGCAACTGAAAGAAACCTGGTCTGCATCTCTCTCCAGATTGAGAGAGGGCAAGCGAGTGGCCCAAAATCACCCAGCGAGCTGCATGATAGTATGAGGATTTGGATTCAGTCCAATGCTTCACAGTAGAGAACCCAATAGAATCCCATGAGCATTATGCACCTTATGACTTTGCAAATTCAGGATTAGACCTCCTGATCAGCAGCACACGCTACTCTACCAGGAAGTCCCTGATGTCATATGTTCAACATCCCAGCTTGCTTTCATAATGAACGGGACAATAAAATCAAAGGCTTACACTATTATGAAATAATTAAATCACCCTCCTCTTTTTTTTTTTAATGTGAAAGACTCGGATAATTAAAAAAATTTTTTTGGGGGGGGACATGCTGTTCTAGGGCAAGGGTCACAGCGGCACTTGATGACATCCTACACGAAAATGTTGTTGACATGCTCCGAACCTGATAAGAGCCCAAGCTGGTGTACACTTACCACAAATAGCTTTAGGACTTATCTTTATTTTGATTTGTTTAAAATACTCATTAGCTGCCTTTCCAACCTTACGGAACTCAAGGCGGCTTTCAGTGTAAATCGAACAGCTGTAAAAGTACATTAAAAAAAACCCCACAATTTAAAATCACATTCTAAGACAGCTAATTAATAAGAAAACGAAACCTTGGGTGAAAGAAAAAGAAAAACTTGGGTAACAACTTTAACTCAAGAAAGTAAACTTTGAAACCCTATTCGCCTCCCTCCCTCCCAGAGGTGACATTGTCAGTGGATGTTTCACACCTCTCTTGGTAAATTTCTTGACCTTCCGTGAATTAGATTAGTGGCAATTATGTCAGCTGACGTCCTCTGCCACACTTTCCAAACAAAAAAACAAACAAAACCCTCCTGGTAAAATATTAAAAGTCACTACGCTGGGGCAAGAAACAGTAACTTTAAAAGAAAAAAGAAAGTACAACTCCCATGTAAGTCATTCAGTACGGAACAAGATTCCTACCTGTAGCGGTCTGTAAAGTGCATACTCATCTCGGAAGAGCTGGCCAAGATGGCTGACACATTCCAACCACCGGCCGTCGACTAAGGCCTGCCCAATCGCTATGGCTTGAGCTCTGGAAAGAAACAAGGGCACAGACTTCAACCAAAAGGCTTCCTCTGAACTCCGTGAGCACCAAGGCTCTTCCCCATTCTGCAGCACGCACACCCTGCCCTCAAGGAAACCCAGTTCACATGGGTCTCCTTGAGGGCAGAGTGTTGGAAGGTGGGAGGGGGTATTGCAGAGAAGGAACTCAGGGTGCAAAGGTACCATGCACATAAGTGACTAGCCTAATTAGAGCAGAGGGGAAGGGCTTGGGACAGAACACACAACACATCTCTGCAGGGCCATTAAAATCGACCATAAAGTAGCATCGTGTACCCCCATCAATTCTGAACAATCCAAAGCACTGTGTACCTCAAAGCAGCACGGTGATTACTCTGATGGAAAGTCAAGGTGTAAATGATCTCTCCCTGCTCCCAAATGTATGGCAAGTTATCTCCACAGCCTGAGGCAGTGGGTGTCCGTGTACGGCCTCCCTGAGGTTGTTGCCACCCACCTATCAATCCAAATAATACGTCAGGGAACCTCTCTCACCAGTTTGGTGTAGTGTTTAAGTGCACGGACTCTAATCTGGGAGAACTGGGTTTGATTCCCCATTCCTCCACTTGCAGCTGCTGGATGACCTTGGGCAAGCCATAGTTCTGCCAGAGCTGTTCTTGAAACAGCAGTTTCTGTCAAAACTCTCTCAGCCCCACCTACCTCACAGGGTGTCTGTTGTGGGGAGGGGAAGGGAAAGGAGTTTGTAAGCCGCTCTGAGACTCCAAGTGAAGGGCAGGGTATAAATCCAATCTCCTCTTCATCTTCACAGCCAGGTGACTTTGTTGCTGTGATTTTTTTTCTTTTAACTATATTTATTGTATAACTAACATAATGTTACCCGCCCTGAGCCCACTTGCAGGATGGGTGGGCTATAAATACAAGTAATAAATAACTAATAATAAGTATGCAAACAGACTCAGCACTAGCAGGCCAAGGTAGGCGAGAGAAGAAATGCACTCCCTAAAAAGAGAGCTACACAATGTTCCTCAGTCTCATGGAGCTTCCGTACCGCGTAGTGATGTGGCCGTTCCTCATGAGCCAGTTGACCAGCTCCTTTCCCACAATGCAGTTGGGATGCGTCCGCAGCCAATAGCGGTGATCCTGAAACTCCATCCCGCTGCTGTGGTGGCAGATTTTCTTCCACAGGTCCTTCAGCTGGACTGAGTCCTACAAGGTAAAGATGACTTTTTAATTTTTTTTAGATAGCACATGTCTGAGGGGAGGCTTAAGTGTCCTCAAGGCGGTGTGTGTGTGTGTGTGTGTGTGTGTGTGTGTGTGTGTGTGTGTGCTGTCGACATCTGGTGCAAATTATTTACTAATGGTTTTCAGGTGCACTGAAGCCAAGACAAGGTGGAGACACTTTTTTACTCTATGCAGCTATCGTTCAGATGAAGCTACGTAGCTCGTGTCCCAAAAGTCTTGTTGGTCTCTAAGGTGCTGCTGCACTTGAATCTAGACCAAAATAAGGCTTCGTACTTGGATGGGAGACCGCCAAAGAAGGCCAGGGTTGCTATGCAGAGGAAGGCAATGGCTTTCACTCTCCAACGTTCATATCCCAAAAATCTTGTTGATCCCTGAGGTGCTGCTGGAATCAAATCTCGCTGTTACTCACTTTTAAAAATATGAGGACAAGCACTTTTAAGAAATGAACTGTTAAAATTCCCTTCACTGCCTTCTACCTATGGATCCTTTAAGGAAAGCAGTAAAAAGACTCTTCTGAACATTTTGTTCTCTTGACAATTAAAAAAACAACACTAAAGGTAAATTTCAGGGGACGTGGTGGGCTTTTGCTACACTGAAGACAACTATTTTTTTTAGAAAATGGATTTAAGTAGCCCCTCCCACACTTGGTGCAAGTCCTTCTCAGTCCCCTCACTGGGACCAATGCTCCCTCTAAGCTGTGGAGTCTTGTGAGCAAAAATTCTACTTCGTGAGCTACTGGCATGAAAGTCGTGAGCGAGTGATTTGGCTGCTGCATAAATTAGTTTGCTCTGGAGCCCCATCCTGCCTGAGCTGAGACAAGAATGTGTGAGCCGGAGGCTTATAAAATGTGAGCTAGCTCACACTAACTCAGCTTAGAGGGAACACTGACTGGGACCCTTGGAGTCATCCACGCCTTCTCAGCGACTTCCTCTCCCTCAGAGTAATCTGAATTTTTCCCTCCTTTGGGAACAGAAGTGGACTATCTTAAAGAGGGAGCTTTAACAGTGTGCTCATCTCGGAATGCCAGTCTCCAGGTGGGACCTGGGGATCCCCCAGAATTACAGCTTATCTCCAGACTATGCAGATCAGTTTGCCTGGGGGAAACATATGCTTTGGAGGGTGGATTCTATGACATTGCCCCCCACTGAGGTCCCCATGCTCCCCAGGCTCCACCCCCAAATCTCCAGGCGTTTCCCAGCCTGGATCTGGCAACGCTGGTCCCCCACCCCCTACCAGTGGCAACCCCAGGGCTATTTTTGGGCAGGAACGCACAGGAACGGAGTCCCAGCTGGCTCCCAAGTTGGCCACGCCCAGCAGGAACTCATTAGCATAATAGGCAACCCTATGCTCATCACCTCAAAATTCCACCCAGCCCCCAACACAGACTGTGAAAACAGAAGTTGATGTCTGCTACAGCAAAGCAGGATTCTGAAGAAAAGGTTATTATGTAGGCTTTACCATGGACACCACTGAGAATAACAAACATTTCTTCAGCACTAGCGTATCATGTGTCTGAACATCACAGGATGGCCCGTGTGCTCAAGAAGTTTAGAAATCCAACTCCCCAGAAACCACCCGAAACCACCTCAGCCACAACACTTCACAACGGAGGCATTTCAAACATTCTGCTCTGTTTTTACACTTGCTTACACATGAGTTTCTCACACATGGAGGAAAGACTGCAGGGAGGTGTACTCTACACATAAGGCTGCTGTGTATAATGCATGCGATTACATTGTTTTATGCCATGTAATCCTCTTTGAGTCTCAGTGGAATAGGTGGACAATAAATAAACAAAAGACAGAAAACAGCAAACACACTCCACGCAAACAAGAGGCGACTTTCAATCGCAAAAAGGCAGCCGTATTTAGGAAACCATTAATGTTCTATCCCTAGACCTACCTACAATCAGATATTGTTTAAGGGCCTTTAAAAAATAAAAGTAAGCGATGATTTAAGAACAGTCTGTGCAGTGTAGAAACTAAGAGACGGACAGTGCAATCCAAAATGGAGCTATACCCTTCTAAGTCCTCGGACGTCAGTGGGCTGAGGGAGGCATAACTCTGCTTAGGAGTACAGTGTGAACTACTTATCAGGAAGTCCTTGGCTTGAGTGTCCCATCTGCCAGGAAATCACTAGATAACCTTAGGCACACCCCCTTTACAGCCCTCCTCCCTCCTAAAAAATCTGCAATATTGGGACAATACTGGTCTACTTTACAGAGTTCTCATAATCCTTACGTGCTTTGAAAATGCTGTAGAAACACCAATGTTAATACAATACAGTAAGAGGGGCCAAGCACATGGAAACCTCTGCCAAGATGGGCAATTAGATGAATTTAACATAATACAGGGCTGTTAGGATAACCCCGAGCTCCATGAAGAAAGGACGGAACACAATTAGTAAAAGAAGCACCAACATACAAAAGAACAAGTTTAAAAGGCCAGAGGGGGAAAACACCTTTTACAAAGCATCTGCAATTAAATATATAGTACTCTCACATTCCGCCTTACAATATCCAAACACAATAAAGTATAAAGTCCACAATATTGTCAATGGCAATTAGCTACAGATTGTAAATCTCAACTTCTATAGAATGTGCCCTCCATTTTAAACTTCGGCTTCAGCTGACGAGTAGCCCAAGGTTGCTCCTTGTTTCAGCGTAGTTTTTTTAATCAAAACCACAATTCCCTCATAAGACAAATAGCTTATTCACAAGGCACAACGCTACTTTTATCGAAGCCGAAAGTTACAGTCTAAAGGCTAACTGCCATTAACAATTAACAATCACAGATGCTTTGTAAAAGGTGTTTTTAAAACAATTTTATATTTTCCACAAAGGGTTGGTTATCTCACATATTGTTTGTACATTGATTCTAAATAGTTTTGTTTGGATTGTACCCAAAAGGTACACAACAGGAACCTGTTCCTCTCAGAAGCGAGCAACACAGAAACAAGAGCTTGGCTCGTACCAGCAGAATTTTGCGCTCATCTTCGTTGGCCTCCTTTGCATAAGTGCGGTTCGCTTGCGGACTGACCGAGGTCTCATAGGCAGGCCCCATGGAAGGCCCTGAACGATCCAGAGACAGGTTTGTGATGCTGGCTGACCTGGTGGGACAAACGGAACACTGATCAGATTCAAAGAGCCAGTGTGGTGTAGTGGTTAAGAGCGCGGATTCTAATCTGGGAGAGCCGGGTTTGATTCCCCACTCCTCCACTTGCACCTGGCTGGATGACCTTGGACAAGCCGTAGTTCTGATAAGAGCTGTCCTTGAAAAAAGAGCCGTTTCTGTCAAGAGCTCTCTCAGCCCCACCTACCTCACAGGGTGTCTGTTGTGGGGAGGGGGAAGGGAAAGGAGTTTGTAAGCCGCTCTGAGACACCTTTGGGTAGTGAAGGGCGGGGTATAAATCCAATCTCTTCTTCTTCTCTTCTTCTTACACCTTTCTTTGTCTTCTTAAATTATTACTAAATTTTATAACAGGATTTTTCAGTGTGTTAGGAGCCTCTCCCTCTCACCGAGTCACTGCTGTCCAGGTATGCAGCCATTTTAAAAACCCTGTAACTAGAAGCAAGGGCTCTCTTCAAATACTGAGCTAGCTTTACCACATAGTTCTTTCACCCATCTTTACTCTCAAAACAATAAACAGAAACTCGCTTTAGATCCTCTTCTCCTTATTTAAACCGGGGGGAAGGGGGGGAGGAATTAAGATCAACTTAATTAAAAAGTCTCAAGCACAATTCCCGCTCGTGGCAAGCTGGAGTTTATTTTACAAAATGTATATCCTGCCTTTCTGCCCTCACAAGGGCCACCAAGGCAGCTAAGAATTTAAAATTGTAGTGTATTTAAAGCTGCCTTGAATGCATGATATGTTGTGAAACATCTAATTGAAGTGTAATGTAAATCTTCGTCCTGGGCTAGGATCCAAATCCATCCAATCGTGTTACTAGCCCAGAAAGCACCTAACCAATCACCTTCTAGCAAGCTCCCTGAGCAGGAACATCCATGATTGGTCCTTATGTGAACAACCTTATTGGTTGGTATCTGTACAGTGGGTGTGGCTACATTAGCCGGGAATGTTTAAAAGCAGGACAGCTGCAATGTAAAGGCTGTTCTGGCTATCAGATGTTGATCCGTGTTGGAGTTGTGTTCGAGTTGAAGAATAAAGTTGTGTTCTTGCTGAATCACTCTCCGACTGCTTTGTTAAGTGAGCGACTTAACAAAAATACATGTAGTAAAATTGTATTTTAAAACCATGACACACATACCCAAACATATAATTAAAACAGACTCTTTGGGAAGGCATGGAGGCCCCAGTCAGCTTCCACTCACGAGGGGGGAGACTTTAGGGGAAACTGGGGCTTCCAGGTGGGGCTTCGCATGAGACTGAGCGGTGAGCACAACTGAGACAACTCAGAAGATGGCCGCCCTGCAGGCAAGCACCAGCGCCTGGAAAACAGGGTCTCTGTGAGATGGTTGTTCTGCCGTGAGCCCAATGCTGGCGACCTGGCTATAGCATTTCAGTGGTGGCAGGAATAAAAATCCAGAAATGGGTTGCCCCCAGGCACATTTAATTCAGAGCACTATGTTTCCAATCACTTCAGCTTCCTTTGTTTCAGTGACAGCTATTCACAGAATGACAAGATGCCAAAGGGAAACCGGAATATTATACAAAGCAAGAAATTGGGTGTGCACCATACAGATGGTGGTGGTTGTGTAGTGGTTAGAGTGCCAGATCTGGGACAAACCTGTTTGAATCCCCACAGTGCCATGGCAACCCTACTGAGTGACTGTGAGCCAGTCACTCTCTCAGCCTCATCTACCTCACAGTGTCACAGCTGTTGTGAGAACAAAATGGAGGAGGGGGAGAACAATGTTGTAAGCTGCTTTCCTCATAGGGGAAAAAGTGAAGTGTAAATTTAAAGAACAGTTAACACTTCAGAGCTCAAATTTCCTCCCAAGTGTCACACAGAAGTGAACAGAAAATTAACCCATTTCTAGTCTCGGGCCCTAAGAAGGATCCACCAATACCACCACTGATTTTTTTTAAAATCTGTAGACGATGTATCAAAATGTCTTTCCCTGGGTACCGTCAGCTATGCTGCCATGATGTTTATGGGCGAGAGGGCAGCTGCTTGACCTGTGTACCAACTGATGCCGCATTCCTTTGTCCTTGCTTATCTATGACCTTGCTAGCTTGCTGTCTGTGTAGTGTCTCCCCATCTATTATCCGTGGGATAGGTTTCGATTCCCAGCTTTGGCTGTTAACGGCCTGGGGCCCCATTCTCCCGTGCGCGGGAGTCAGGCCTATTGGCCTAGGAGTGGGGGGGGGGGGTACGAATACCCTATATCCAGGGCTATTTTTGGGCAGGAACGCACAGGAACGGAGTTCCGGCTGGCTCCCAAGTTGGCCACGCCCAGCAGGAACTCATTAGCATAATAGGCCACACCCAACAGCAGAAACTCATTAGGATTGGCTACATTAGGGGTGTGTGGCCTAACGTGCAAAGGAGTTCCTGCTACAAAAAAAGGCCCTGGGTTTTGACAACAAACAAGGTAAACAGAATAACAAGCAAAAGGTGGGTGTGGCTGAATAACCACACTTCTGGTAACATGTGCTAATGAGCTGTGCTGTCAGGGGTGTGGCCCAATATGCTAATGAGATCCTGCTGTTGGGTGTGGCCTATTATGCTAATGAGTTCCTGCTGGGCTTTTTCTACAAAAAGACCCCTGCCTATATCCCTGTATGCTTGTAGGAAAGTAGCCATTCCTAACAGTGACCATGTTACTGCCTCCATAGCTCTTGCAATAAAGAGCTATGAGAGCCAGTTTGGTGTAGTGGTTAAGTGCGTGGACTCTAATCTGGGAGAACCGGGTTTGATTCCCCACTCCTCCACTTGCACCTGGTGATGTGACCTTGGGTCAGTCACAAGCTCTGGCACAGCTGTCCTTGAAAAAGAGCAGTTTGTGTCAGAGCTCTCTCAGCCCCACCTACCTCACAGGGTGTCTGTTGTGGGGAGGGGAAGGGAAAGGAGTTTGTAAGCCGCTCTGAGACTCCAAGTGAAGGGCAGGGTATAAATCCAATCTCTTCTTCTTCTTCTTCTAAAGTATAACCTTATGCGTGTACTCCTTTGTTTGGCTTTGGAACCTGACAGGTACTGGTAAAGAATATTTAAGCAATGTAATCCTCTACCTGGTAAGTGGTTACAGCACTTAACACACAAGTGCTGATGCTGCTTCCCCCTATCAGACACAAGAGAGTTAAACGTGGGTTGCCAGGTTCACCAGTTAGTGGATGTGGGAGGCAGCACAATATTGCAATTCGTATCACCCGCTCCCAAGTCCAACAGGACCATTCTTCCTAAAAATGTGCTTCTAACCGATTACAGCTGAGCGTTTGGTTCATACTGAGAGACGGTCGTCCCCGTAGCGGGGAGGGCGGGGCACAAATTGAATTTATAAATAAATAAATAAATGTTCCCCCACTATAAGAAGCTGACAAGAACTAACAAAAGTAATTGCTTTAAACTAAATCCACCAACGCTGCCAAACCCCACTGGGGGGGGGGGGCGGGCCGAGGGGGGCATCATGAACGCATGAATCTGCCTCATACAGAATCAGACCCTTGGTCCACCAAAGTCAGTATTGTCTACTCAGACTGGCAATGGCTCTCCAAGGTCTCAGACAGAGGTCCTTCACATCACCCACTGCCATATCTTTTAAGTGGAGATGCCAGGGATTGAACCTGGGACCTTCTGCATGCCAAGCAGACGTTCTGCCACTGAGCCACGGCCCCTCCCAAAAGAGGCTTCGGTTCTCCTAACTGGAGCATCACATCAGTTCAGGCAGCCAAGTGGTATTAATTATTTACACAGTAATATAATGGCTTAAAATCTCACTGTCTGCCTCTACTGACAGAAGGGATTTCCCTGCCTCCCCAGCTCTATGACAGAATCAGTGAACGATCATCTGCTTTCATACCAACACTTAAAATTTCTCTTCGCCTCTGAGTTTCGCGGTACAAATATAAAACTGTGTGACTCCAGGTAAAGCAACCGTTGGCGAGCCAACTCACACCACCGCTTTGTGGGACATCCGACTTCCCCCGCCTCAGTTCATGAGGGAATGAAGGAGGGAGGAAGCGGGAAAAAGCCACTGGCTGGCTAGCAAGAATTGAAAAAGATCCGGCCAAGTCAGAATCTGTTTCTCCTCTGCTTCTCACAAGTATCAAAAACAGAAGGGTGTGCCCAGAGGCTAGAGCGAGCCCTTGGCTGAGAGCCAAAGGGCAAAACGTCAAGGGCTGTAAACCTAGAGCTGGGAGAAAGAAAGAAAGAAAGAAAGAAAGAAAGAAAGAAAGAAAGAAAGAAAGAAAGAAAGAAAGAAAGAAAGAAAGAAAGAAAGAAAGAAAGAAAGAAAGACGAAGGCCTGATCTTCATCAGAAACCTTCTGCATCCCTCCGTTTCTGTTGTATTTTCCCCCTTTGTATTCTAAGCCATCTGGGTTCCCCCGCTGACAAGAGCAGGATGCAAATTATTAAATTAAAAAATGGACGTTATTTAAATTCACCATGTATGGGAGGAGGGGGGGGGGAGAGAAGGAGATTGGATATATACCCTGCTCTTCACTACCTGGAGGAGTCTCAGAGTGGCTTACAAACTCCTTTGCCTTCCCCTCCCCACAACAGACATCCTGTGAAGTAGGTGGGGCTGAGAGAGCTCTTTCAAGAACTGCTCCTAAGAGAACAGCTCTGAAAGGATGTGTAACTGACCCATGGTTACGCCAGCAGCTGCATGTCGAGGAGTGGGGAATCAAACCCAGTTCTCCTGGTTCAGAGTCCACGCTCCTAACTGCTACACCAAACTGGCTCGCAACCGATGCAGTTGCATCCAGCTTCTAAGTCATCATTCGGTATTGTATGCTTCAATAAAAAGTTAGCAGAACCCCTTTTTCATGGCCCAGAGTGGGGCAGGGGGGCACAGTGCTATACTGAGGTGTGCAGCAGGGGGCACGGCTGTGCTGAGGCATGGGGCGGGAGGCACAGCTATGCTGAGATCTAGAAATTCGGTTTAATGCTGCACAAAAAAGCAAAGGTTTGGCTGACAGGCTGTGGGGGCGTCTAGGCCTTCTGCTGCACGGCTGTGGAAAGAGCTTTAAAAGGGGAAGGTCTTTAGATGGCCAATAATCACGAGAACCTAAAGGGCATTAACATGCCCCTTTGCACCCGGACTGTCTGCTTAATAAACAAGGCCCAAAAGCACAACTGGTCAGGCAGGAAGTCAATGACACAAACGCCTGCCTGCCACAGCAGATTTCTTCAGCGCCAGCTATTAAGTTGCACAAGCACACATGTTCCTGGAACGCTTCTTGCTCTATGCAAGGCATCTGGGGCTGGCTTTCTGGGAACAGATACTCGAACGCTCCACCCGGGGCTAGCAGCCAGCTGAGGAATTTCACAGGCCCTCGTATCTCTGGTGTCATTTTCTCCAGTGCTCGGCCCGAACTCTGGACTCCACACTCTGTTTGCAGACCTCTTCCCAACTGTTGACTATAACGCAACCTCTTCCG